AATATGCAAATGACTGATTAAAGTACAAAAATGTACTCAATTTAGTTGTTCACCAGGAAAATATAAATTAACTCCCAGTGAAATACCAATACCCACTTATCAGCATGGCTAACATTTTAAAAGCAAACAATACAAAATGTTAGTGAGGCTTTGGAGCAATTAGAACTTATGTACATTGCCACTGAGTATAAACTGATACTAACACTTTACAGAACTGGCAATATCTATTAAAGTTTAAACATATGTTTACCCATGATCAAATATACCCACTCCTAGGTATATGCCTAATAAACATTTGTACATCTGTTTACTAAAGATATAGACAAGAATGTCCAGCATCATTCATAATAGCCAAAACATTGGAAACATCACAAATGCTCATTGGCAGTAGAATGCATAAAGCAATGGTGGCTCACTGATACATCAGAGTAACATTCAGCAGTGAAAATGAACAAATGATTGCTGCACACACGAATAAGTCTCACAAATTTAATGTCAAACCAGAAAAGAAACAGACACTAAAGAGTACACACTGTATGGTCCCATGTATATAAAGTTCAAGACCAGGCAAAACTTGTTTCTGGTGATGGAAGCTAGAATACTAGATGCTTTCAGGGGCTAATGACAGGGAGCAGGCATGAGGACGGCTTCCGAAGTGCTGAGAATTTTCTACCTCTTGATCTGTGTGCTAGTAACACGGATGTGTTCACATGGTGAAAACTCATTTAACTGCACACCTATGACTTGTGAACTTTTCTGTATGTATGTTTTATTTCGACAAAAAGTTTTTTAAGCTCAAAACAAAAACCTTATTTTTAGGCTAGGGCTTACAAACAAATGTGAACTGAAAGAGCCAACCAATCCTTCAAATTGAATCCTCTGTTAGGCCTTTCTTGCACTGTTAAAAAGAAACACCCAACACCGGGTAATTTATAAAGGAAAGAGGTCTAATTGGCTCACTGCTTCGAAGGCTCTACAGGAAGCCCAGTGCTGGCATCTGCTTGGCTTCTGGGAGGACTTGGGACTCTTGCAATCATGGCAGAAGGCAGAGGAGGAGGAGGCAGGCACACTGCATGGTGAAAGCAAAAGAGAGAATGACCGGAAGTGCTACTCTTCAATGACCAGATCTCAGGAGAAATCATTATCACCAAGACAGCACCAAGCCATGAGGAAGCTGCCCCAATACACCTCCCTCTAGGCCCCCCCTCCAGCCCTGGGGATTACAATTCAACATGAGATCTGGGCAGGGACACAGCTCCAAACTCTATCAGATCCCAACTGGCTAACTGGGCCTAAATTTTAAATAGAGCCAAGCAGCCAGTTGCTGACTAGAGGTCACATGTGTACTCTGAGTTTCTGAAAACCCTCATCTCTGTTTAATTTTGAAACTTTCAACTCTCAACTGAACAAACCAGACAAGGCTCCGCTTTATCAACCAGTCAGGACTCAGCTGCACCAACCAATTAGAACTAAGCAAATTTGAATGTTTCTGTTGCATAAATGAATCTGATTGGGAACCTGAGTGGGAAACCTCCCTATATAGAAGCCAAATTCCATATTTGTTCTCTGGAATGCACCTTCCAAAGGCTATGTGCCAAAAGCTGCAGTTTCCCCAGTTTGCAAACTGTTCATTGGAATAAAGTCTCCTTCCTCAAATTCCTCTTCAGAGAACTTTTGTTCACAGGCTTAATAGGGTAATGCTGGTCACATGAACATGCAGACACTATGCATGAGCTGAAGGGGGAAGAAGAAAAGAGGAAAGGAAACCGTGGGCGAAGGGTGGGTAAAGTTGGGGGTGATTTACACTTGAAAAAAGGCCAAACCCTTAAGTCAAAGGCAAGAGTTTATTCTCTCAACCACCCTTCCTTTTATCCCCGGCCAGCAGCCTGGAAGTTCCAGACTGTCAGGAATAAGTTCCATTTGTCTTTGCATCCTCCAGCTCCCTCCCTAGTATCCACACGGTAGCAAGGGCTCTGTAAACAGCCTTAGATCTGCTCTTGAGGACTCACACATGATGGATGAAACAAAAGAAAATATGGATCCAATGCTAATTGAATAGCTCGCAAGTTCATTTAAAATCAAACTTCTATTTATCTACCTTTGGTTTATGATGTTGCTTAAAAAAAAAAAAATCAAACTTCTTTCAGAGGGACAGCTGCAGGAAGGTTGTTGTTACGAAAGGGTTCAGTTTCATCTGGCTTATCCAAAAAGGAAAGCCTTTGCTACCACACAGGGCCGGGCCTGCAGACCCTAGAACCCTGAGCACCACTCCTGAGACATGAATAGCACCGAAGGCCCCAGAACAGGCAGCCAAATGACTAGACGGCCTCCTGCTGAGTTAAACTTGTGGGTGTATAAGAGTGGGGCATTTTAAACAGCCTGCTTTCCAATGAGCTGGAATAAATGGGGATACTATCCCATCAGAGGCTCTCACTAGGAGGTGATAACCTATGTCCCTGATTACTGAGGGGATGGTGTCCTCATTTCTACTCACTTTCCATGCCTCCTTCATGTCTGTATGACATTGACCTGAAACCACCTTTGCAAAATTACGACAGAGAAATATGACATAGTTGACTCCATCTTACTTCTAACCTCCAATCTCTCCTTGGTCATTCTTGGGTGTAGAGCAACCTGAATTTGGGATATATTTATAGTTTAACCTTAAAGCAAGGATAATAGCCCTTCTTAAAATGAAAGCACCTTTCGAAAGCTAATGAAAGACAACCAGGTTAGGATTATAAGAGGGGCTCGAATTCTGCTAAGATGTTGGCATAGTTACTCCTTACTGTTCAGGAGTCATGTGACTAGAGGTCACAAGATTTGTGACTTCCCTAATTACTTCTATAGATAACATCACTATTATAGAACCTAATAATTTTTTTTGAGGTATCTTTCAGACTAACCCCACTCAGAATCCTGACTCAACCCATCCTGTGGCCCCACCCAGAGGTAGACATGAGAACTATCTTCCAAAACCTTATGACTTCATCCCTAACCAGTCAACATTTGCCATTCCCGTGTCCCCTGCCCACCTAACTATCTTGAAAACCCCTAATCTCCAAGACTTTGGAGTCACCGACTTGAGTAATAACTCTGTCTTCCACCTGGTATGGCCAGTCTCACATCAATGAAACTTTCTTTACTGCAATGCCGTAGTCTAGGCAGATTGATTTTGTCTGTGCAGTGGGCAGGGAGACCTTGTTGGCAATTACAGACCTTCCAACCTGAAAGATGAGAGGACAGCCTTCTGGGGCTGACAAAAACTTCTCACTCTTCCCCTTCTGTTATGGGCTGAATTTTCTCTCCTCCACACCAAATTCACATGTTGAAGTCCTAACCCCCAGGACCTCAGATTGTGACTGTATTTAGAGATAGGACCTTTAAATGGGTCATTAAAATAAGCTGAAGTCTTAATGCGATCTGACTGGATTCCTTAAAAGATGAGGAAATTTGGACACACAGGAAGACACCAGAGACACTCATGCACAGAGGAAAGGCCATGATAGGACACAGAGAGAAGATGGTCATCTGCAGGCCAAGGATTGAGGGCACAGAAGGAGCAAACTCTGTCAACACCTTGATCTTGAAATTCCAGCCTTCAGAACAGTGAGACAATCTATTTCTCTTGTTTAAGCTACCCAGTCTGTGGTAATTGTTTTTTGTTGTTGTTTGTTTGTTGGTATATTTTTTGTTTGTTTGTTCTGAGATAGAGTCTTGCTCTGTCACCTAGGCTGGAGTGCAGTGGCACATTCATGGCTCGCTACAACCTCTACCTCTTGGGTTTGAGTGATTCTCCTGCCTCGGCCTCCTGAATAGTTGGGATTACAGGCATATGCCACCACACCCAGCTAATATTTGTATTTTTAGTAGAGATGGGGTTTCACTACGTTGCCCAGGCTGGTCTTGAACTCCTGGTCTCAGGCCATCCATCTGCCTTAGCCTCCCAAAATGTTGGGATTACGGGCATGAACCACCATGCCCAGCCCAGTCTGTGGCATTTGTTATGACAGCCCAAGCAAACCAGCACATGCCTTCCCAGCTTTTATTTATCATGGGCATGGTGCCTCCTCCTGGTCTGCTGCTGGTTCCTAATGCCAGACCAACAAGGCTCTGCTCACCCAGTTCTGAGCCTTACCCCAGTGCTGGCTTTGCTCTGCTCTTCCTTATCCTTCTGGCCTCCTTCTAATACTGCCCCAGGGCAACTCTACATCTGGCTACTCCTGGCTCTTACTCTTAACCCCAACCCAGACCAGCAGCCACCAAGACCCATTGTCCCTCCTGTATGCAGCCTTTGTCTGACAGGCCACGTGGTATTGAACACTTGTGGGATCAGAGAAAGCAAGAGGAAGTTTGAGGCATTTTAGAGGATGGCAAGAGACGGAGGCCCTTCTCCTTTCTGTTCACCCCCTCCAAGAATTTCCCACAGGTTGATAAATATTGTTATGGTCCAAAACAGAAGGTGTCATTTGGCTATATTCTCAGATTTTACTCCTGTGGGTTAGTAAAACAGATGGAGGGCTGTCCAAGTCGAGGAGAAAGCCAGACTCATTCAGAATGATCTTTTCAATGCTCTAAAACCTGGCACAGGCTTGTCTTTACTAATTCTCACCCTGAGAGCCAGGAGAACAAAGGACTCATTGGGATACCGCCATGTGAGAGTGGGGATGTTAAACCAACAGCTCCCCCAGGCTGAGTCAGGTTGAGGGGTCTGCTTTGTGCACAGAGACCCTGTTGATATCTTATGACCCACTTGGGATTATTTGGGGGGATTGTTTGAAAAAGAGAAAAAGATCTCATTGCTTCCTATTAAGATGCCACCAGATGATCTCCCGGCTGAGCTCTTTGACTTTTTTCTCACAATAATAAAAATATATATACCTCATTTCCTTTTTAAAGACAGTGGATATTGAAATGCCAAAGCTCAAATTGGACCGCATGCTAAATCTCAAAATTTTCAGATGGTTTAATCTGGATAAAGACAAACAGTTTGGACTCACCTCAATGCACGTCTGATCCAAGGAGGCGATGACTTTACAGCTGGCAGAAAACAGCACCACCAAAAGGAAGCAGCTGCAGTCAAAAGCCATCGTAGGACCAGTGCAATCCCAGTGTGTTGGGTTTACCTAATGCTTGGAGCTGAGAAACTATGAAGGCCCTGAAGCTATCAAACTATGAAGGCGCTAGCAATTTGGCAGCCAGGGAGGTAGTCAGAAGGGTGATCTTGGAGCAAGAAATACTGTTGACTGCTCAGCATTCTGTGAGTCTGTGCTAAAAAAAAAAGGAAGTCCCTTTGCATTTGCATACTAATCATCTTTGCCAAAAATAACTGAGGACCCAGCCCCAGAACGGCCCAGTGCATTTTCTGCCACTGAGCATGAATCAGTTGTACAGTCCCTTTGGGCTGATCACACAGACTTTCATTGTGATGGTTCCAAGTGACTTTATGCCAACTTCAAGCATTTGGCTAACTCCAACAGCTTCTGGTCCTTTTCCCCGAGAGAGGCTGTGGAAGCTCTGCCCACCAAGGAGGTCACTTTCTTGGTTGTCCTAGGTGAGTGAGTAGAAGAGGTGTTGGAGAACACTGGAAGGGCAGAGCACTCTATGGGGGCAGATTAAAGAATGGAGCCCTTCATGGCACCTGCTGAGCTGGGAGCTGGAGCAGGAGGGAGCAGGCTTGAGAGTGTATCTGCTCCTTGAGGCTCAGCTGCTGCCTTGGCCACCTTGGCCATCCCCTGCTTGGCCATCCCCACCTCTGGTCTTCGTGTAGGAGGAATATGACTTCATCCCTTGACCTGGTGTTTCAGGCTTCTTAAAGCAGTTGGGGTGAACTCCCCTCTTGCTCCTTCCTAACCTGGCCGGGGGAAGGAGGAGACACTGTTATAGAGAGAGCAGCCTGGCTAGGGGACAGCAGAGTTAGGGATGCCAGCCTTGGCTCTGTTTCTTCTTAGAAATAGTTTTGAAGCAGGATTGCAATTACCCTTATCATGGAGCAAGATGTGGCAATGATTAAAGAAAGTCAAAGATCAAACATTCCTCAATAGGCTGCCTTTAGCTGCCTGTTCTATCTGTTCTGCAACCCTCTGGAATACAGGATATATTTCGTGTTACTGTCCTCCCACTCCATTTCCAAGAACCCAGTTCTCAGTATTAGAGTTCACAATGGCTCGATTACTACTGCTACTACCACCGCCGCCACTATTGTATTACTATGATGAACAAAATGACTATAGTGTCTGCCACTTATCGAGTCCTTACTATGTGTCAGACACTGTGTCAGGTTTAATTTTTGTTTTTTGCTGCATTTCCCTATCCTTGAATATTTCCACATATTCTATAAAAGAGATGTTATTATTTCTCTTATTTTACAGATGTAGAAATTGATGCTTAGAGAATTAAAACCTCTCCAAGGCACACAATTAGAAAGTGGTGGTCTAGGGCTTCAGATCCAGAAAACCTCACTGCAGAGACTGTGCTACTACTCTTCATGGTTTAAGAAAGGATTTTGTGTTGGAAGGAGCTGAAGAGTAGATGAGGTGAAGAATGACGTTCATTAGGAGATTTCAGAGAAGATGCCAAAAGGCAGAGGGGACTGGAGGAAATAGGTACTTGGCACTCTGCTGGGGCTGCTACACATATTTGGGCTTTTCCTAGTCACTCTTAAAATGACACCTTCAACAAAATAATCTCTGAAGATGCCATCAGCAAGACACAGTCTACCTGACCAATGACAGATCACCTTGCTTCAAAGAAGACATCCATCAGTGTGCAATGGGAAGAGCTGAGGACTGGGAAGGGTTTAGTGCTAGACCTGAGATCCTTGCCTGCCAGCTGAGTGACCTTGGGCAAGTCACTTCACTTCTCTAAGTCTGTTTTCCCATCTGAAAAACAAGGAATTAGAATTCGTGTTCTGCCTACATCACCAGGTAATTATGAGGATCAAATAGGAACATATCTGTGAAAATGCTTTCCTTACCTTAAAGTCCCACATAAATATGCAGAATGTGAGGCAAAGACTAACAAATTCTGATGTCATGTAAATATCACTCTCAGGAAATTGTCTACTGCCCCAGAGATGCTGAAAGGCATATTACGTTCCTTCTTAAAGAAAGGTCTGATGGCTCAGTTAAGGCCATCAGATTTTGTCATTTTCTGAGGCTACATTATTTGCATATGATTTGCATGTGTTTGTATAATGAATTCAAAAGACTCATTGCAAGTATATGAGAGCAAAAGAAAATGAATGAATATGAGTGACCTTCTGCCACAGCATTCAAATCACATATTCAGGGCATAATACTCTGAAATATGAAATAGATTAAAATTTAAACTATTACAAACAGATGAGAAGATAGGTTTTAGAGTTTAGAGGCAAGAATGAAACTCTTATTTGGTCCCAGAATTTGGATATAAAGCATCACATCCTCTTACAGGTCACCCCATCCTGAATTTCATGCCTGAATTCTCTCCTACAGACCCCTTAATTCACCCCTCTCTGTAGACAAAAACATACTGAGTTATTTTTCAGTCCATTCTGAAATGCCTCAGGTGACTGAAAACTGATAATTCTTCACCCCCAATGGTTTTGGCCAATTTTGATTGTTCAAAAGTTTTTATCTTACACTGAACTGTTAAAGTCTCCTTGGCTAACAGAGGAAGTTCAAGGCCTTTTCTACCTTCAAGTATCTGAAAATAGCTACCATGTCCCTGAATCTTTCCCTTTCTAGGTTAAAAATCTCTAGTTCCTCAAACTATGCCATAAATTAATGTATTGCAACCTCTAGCAGACTGTTTATCTAAATGTTTTCTCAATTGCCCAAGGCAAGCATGGACTTGAATTTCAATCCTAGCTTTGCTACTCACTGTGTGTGTCACTGGGGCAGTCTCTCTGAGTCTCAGTTTGCTTATCTGCAAAATGATGGAGTTGAACTAGCTTATCAACAAGGTACTTCTTTATTTAAAGCTCCATTATTTATTTCAAAACTATGATTTCCAATTTACTTTTGTAATAGAATTTTTGGCTCAAGCCAATAATATTGAGTTACCCTTGATTTGTCTCACATCTTCTTGGCAAACAAAAATTACAGAGAGAAGTTTAGCTGAGTGATGGGCACCATGATTTCTGTAATCCCAGTTGACTCACAGTGTTATTGAGGGATAAAATTGCCAACCCCCATGCCGAGAACCAGTTCTTGCAGAGATATGGAGAGGGAGAAGAGAACATGAGAAAACACACCAGAAATGTTTATTTCTACTGAGCAGCATCCATGTCAGTGAGGAAACAACAGACTGCGGACCCCAGAAGTTTTCAAAAGTTCAAGCACCCTTGTATTAGATATTAACATATATTTATATATAAATCCCAAATCATTGTTTTTGTTGGTGTGCTGTCTTTTATTCTACTACATTTGCATGCAGTTTGTCCCCTGTGGTCAGCTGTCTCCCTGTGGGAGACCCCATAGAACTACCGAATTTCCTGTCTGGTGAGGCCCATACATTCACTTTTTTGTTGCCATGTATTTATAATCTGGGAGTGGCCTGGGGCCCTAGGATGCCTTATTTGGCTCTTCAATCTCTTTCCTGGTGATAACTCAAAGGAAATTTGCCTCAAAAGACTAATTTACTTTCTTTCAAGGATATGCAAACCCAAATATGCTTTTGGGATCTAAATTTAGCCAAAAACTAGATGTTTTTAAAATAATTTCATTACATAATTAAAACAAGTAATTTATGTTATATCTTCTGGACACCAGTCGGTATTAAACTGACCTATATTTTTACCCTCTGTACATTTAGTTGTAGTTCTGCTTTTTGTTCAAGCCTGCTTTCCTACATTCCTGCCTCTAAATGGTTAAATATATTTGCTTCTAAAATTTTACATGAATATTTTAAATATTGTATAGTCAGTTTTACTCTTTATTGTTATATTTCTCAATATGTTTATTTTATTTTATTATTATTATTTTCAAATGAAGTCTCGCTCTGTCACCCAGGCTAGAGTGCACTGGTGCAATATTGGCTCACTGCAACCTCACCTCCTGGGTTCAAGCAATTTTCCTGCCTCAGCCTCCTGAGTAGCTGGGATTACAGGTGTGTGCCACCATGCCCAGCTAATTTTTGTATTTTCGGTAGATACGGGATCCACTATATTGGCCAAGATGGTCTCGACCTCCTGACCTCAGGTGATCCACCTGCCTTGGCCTCCCAAAGTGCTGGGATTACAGGTGTGAGCCACTGTGTCCAGCCTGTTTTTTTAAAAAATCAAATTATTATAACCCAAGGTTCAGAGCCATAAAGGCCCAAAGTCAAGCCCACCTCTCTCTGAGGGTTACTGTTATGTTGCTTTATGAGCACACCAGAATGGAGCCCTCTGTTCCTCTACTCCTGCTTTCTTGTCCTGCTGTTTATGCTTCTGTTTCCGTGGTTGATGATACTTATGAGGCCACCAGGCTAGACAGAGCAAGGGATGCCGATGCCCTTCTCACAACTTGAGAGGAGACCGGGCTCTCCTCAAGACTGGCTTGTTTTTTTAGGGGAAGAAAGACTTTCCTCTACCTTCTTGGGTTCTCAGACTGGGGCCTGTCAATTGAACTGGCAAAAGACAGATTAACAGGAGATAGAGCATAATACTTTTATTTGATTGTAATATTTTTATGTGACACAAGGGCTTTCTAGAAAGACGGGAAGATCCCAAGCAGTGGTTAGACCCAGAGGCTTATGTACCATTTGAACAAGGAGCAATCAATTGTGGAGTTGTGACAAGACAAAGAAAAGGGATTTGAGCTAGAGCAGTGAATTGTGGGAAAGTGACTGGGAAACGTATGGGGGAAACTAATGAAAGGCAAGAGTTAAGTAAGGTCTGTTTTGACTCTGTCTCCAGTGAGAAGAACATTCTCTTATTCCTAGTACAGGAAGGGTAGCTGTCTCCTGGGAAATTTATATCCTATTTTTAGGTAAAAATGGGAAGACCAGGAAGCCCCTCCTGCATCTGCAATTTCTTAATTACCTTCAGGTCAAAATAATCAACACATCAAAGTGGTGTATTTTGGGGTGTTATATTCTGGTCCCCTTCAATTTAACCTTCAATGTCAAGCTCAGCTGTGTACTTTTGAAGCTAGACAGCCCTGCGATGCTGACCCTCATCCAGAACTATTTCTCTGCACTTTTTTTTTTTTTTGCTCTTGTTGCCCAGGCTGGAGTGGAATGGTGTGATCTCAGCTCACTGCAACTTCCACGTTCCAGGTTCAAACAATTCTCCTGCCTCAGCCTCCCAAGTAGCTG